AATGGCTAGTGATCGTGAGCATTTCCTCATGTGTCTGTTGGCCATTTGAATGTCTTCTTTGGTGAAGTGTCTGTTCATTTCCTTTGCCCATTTTTTAATCGGATTATTTGTCTTTTTGTTGTAGAGGTGTTGGATTTTCTTGTAGATTATGGAGATTAGACCTTTGTCAGTTTTGATTTTTAAGTAGTTATGTTATGTTAAAACAACTATGTATGTTCTTTCTACTTAGACATTTGAAAAAAATAATACACGTACACTGAAAGAAAAAATAACGTTTTTATTGCCTTCTTATTATTGTTGCCATTGAGTCGATTCTGACTCACAGTGACTCCCTATGTGCCAGAGTCAAGCTGTGCTCCATAGGGTTTTCCGTGGCTGATTTTTTCCAGAAGTAGATCACCAGGCCTTTCTTCCCGGGCACCTCTGGGTGAACTCAAACCTCCCAACTTTTCAGTTAGCAGCCGAGCACATCCACTGTAACACCACATAACCATAATTAATTACTAATGGGATGTGTGTGCCTTTTGAGCACTGCACAGCTTCTCAAACTTTGGGATCAGATTGAAAACTGCCACTCCCGTTTCCCATTTAACGTTGACTTTTGTGCAATACGGGTAGTCCCTAGATTGCAGATGAGTTCCGTTCCTAAGTAGGTCTTTAAGTTGAATTTGTACGTCAGTCAGAACAGTTAGGTACAGCTTGTATCTGACATCAGTCCGATGTTTGTCTTAGTATATAGTATATAGTGTACCTTTCTGTGCATAAAAAACATTAAGGAAACACTTCCAGATACACTAAAATGTCTTTAACATAATAATACAATAATAATAATGTTTTGATGTGCATCACAAGGTGGCACCCATTTGTTATTACAAACCATGGTATGTACCTGGAATTTTTAATATAATAGGCTTTACAGGGGTTGGTTCGTAACTACAAGTTTACATAAATTGGACGTTCATAACCCGGGGACTGCCTGTGCTTGCCTGTTATCACAGTGGCCACTGAAAACGCAGCTTTGCAGAGATAAGACTCACTGAAAGGAGTTATGTCCTAATGTTGCAAACAAATACCTTGAGCTAGTAGTTCATACAGTGTCCAGCAGGTGTCACTGGGGTTCCCTTGAGAGTGTGAACTATCCTACAGCGCTCCTGTGAGTTCACATGGGATCCACAGCCATCAAGATTTAATCGATTGATCATTTGGGGCCTTTATGAGATTATACCAGTTACAGCTTTTGCCATTGTCAGGTGTTTTTTTGATTAATTTTGTTTTTTTGTAAAAGTTCCTTTTTACTAGACTCCATTTTGCATTGCAAAGAATAATGAATATACCATGGGCTGCCAGAAGAACAAACAAATCTGTCTTGGAAGAAGTACAGCCATAGTGCTCCTTGTACGTGAGGATGGCAAGACTTCATCTCACGTACTTTGGACATGTTATCAGAAGGGACCAGTCCCTGGAGAAGGACATCATGCTTGGTAAAGTAGAGGGTCAGCGAAAAAGAGGAAAATCCTCAAGGATACAGACTGACACAGTGGCTACAACAATGGGCTCGAACATAGCAGTGATTGTGAGGATGGCACAGGACCAGGCAGTGTTTCATTCTGTTGCGCATGGGGTCGCTGTGGGTTGGAACTGACTCAACAGCACCTAACAACAGCAACAAGGACATGTTTGAACTCCAAGGTTTGATTTCGTTTGGCAGTTTTTAGATGATAACAGATTTTACTGTAAATCATGCTCTCCTAGCCATTGTCAGTTTCTGGGGTGTGTAGAGGGGTTTATTTCTACTAAGGCAGAATTTTCCCCAGTTACTTTTTCAAGTTTTTATTGTTACCCTAAAGTCATGATATTTCAGGCCGGTTTTTTTTTGTTCAAGTCTGCAACAAGTTATCATATGTATTTTGAACCCTTTTAAATTCTATTTTGGGGTGAATAATTAAAAAATAATAGTTCATAAGACTGGTTTGTATTTATTTCTCAGCTGCATGTGCGAACGCTGGGATTGGCTTCCCTCAGAGGCCCCCGCTTTGCTCAGGGTTGACTAAGAGTGAGCACACACCCTCCATTGCTTTATAGACACCTTTGAATGGTACAATAAAAAATATAAAACCACAGTGAGATACCACTTCATACCCACTAGGATGGCTGTTATCAAAAATTGGAAAACAGCAAGTGTTGATGAAAATGTAGAGAAATCGGAACCCTCATCCATTGCTGGCGGAAATGTAAAATGGTGCAGGTGCTATGGAAAACGGTATTAGAGTTCCTCAAAAAGTTAATCATAGAATTACCATGTTGTTATTAGATGCCGTTGAGTCGGTTCCAACCCTTAGTGACCTTACATACAACAGAATGAAACACTGCCTCGTCCTGCGCCATCCTCACAATTATTGCTATGTTCTAGCCCATTGTTGCAGCCACTGTGTCAGTCTGTATCCTTGATGGTCTTCCTCTTTTTCGCTGACCCTCTACTTTACCAAGCATGATGTCCTTCTCCAGGGACTGGTCCCTCCTGATAACATGTCCAAAGTACATGGGATGAAGTCTCACCATCTTCGCTTCTAAGAAGCATTCTAGACCCAGCAATTCCACTCCTAGGTATATACCCCAAAGAATTGAAAGCAGGGACTCAGACAGATACTTGCACACCATTGTTCATGGCAGCACTCCTCATAGTAGCCAAAAGGTAGAAACAACCCAAGTGTCCATCAACAGACAAATGGATAAACAAAGCGTGGTACAGCACAACCTGCAAAAGACAGAACCCGTGTAAGGCAGAAACCTGTCAGAGAAGGAAAACTCAAATATTTTCCACTAAAACGAGCCATAGAAAAGTGGTAAGACTACACCCTGTCAAAGGTGGAAAACTTGAGAGACCCAGAAAAACAAGGCAGGCTTGTCGAGTTCCGGCTCTTACAAGTTCCCTTGTATATACACATAGTGGAATATTATTTAGTCATAAAGACAAATGAAATTTTAATGCATGCTACAACATGGATGAACTTTGAAAACATGCTGAGTGAAAGAAGCCAGACACAAATGAACAAATGTTGTATGACCGCACATGTGTGAAAGGTCTAGAACAGGCAAACGCTTAGAGACAGAAAGGAGTGTACCGGCTGCCATGGGCTGGGGAAGAGGGAGTGGGGAGTTATTGCTTAATGGGCACAGAGTTTCTGTTTGGGATGATGAAAACAAAATGGGTAGTAGAATGTAAAGAGTAAAAATAATATGCTGGCTTAATAAAAATAAACACTTAAGTTCTTTTAAAAAAAACGGGCAGTCTGTTTCGGGGGTCAGAATGTCCTTGGGGGTCAGAATGCCTTGTTTTTGCTACCTGACTTTTCTGTCTGTCACCAGAAGCAGAGACCCCAGCAGAAAGCATCACAGAGCCTGAAGTGGCAAAAAAGAAGGAAGCAGAAGACGGGGACAAGCCCACGATGTCCCCTGAACCCCTCAAGATGTCCAGTGAGTTTCTGATCCTCTTCCACTCCTTCAGTCCCAACTTTCTGATTTTGGGGTCAGATGTCTTTTAAGAAGAGTTCATTTAATTGAGACAGAGCTTCTCAAACTTGTTTAAATGCAAAATCTAGGACAGTCATTAAAACACTCATTGTCATCGAGTCGATTCCAACTCATAGTGACCCTATAGGACAGAGTAGAACTGTCCCATAGGGTTTCTTAGGCTGTAATCTTTATGGAAGCAGGCTGCCACACCTTTCTCCTGTGGAGTGGCTGGTGGGTTCAAACTGCTGACCTATCAGTTAGCAACAGAGTGCTTTCACCACTGTGCCACCAGGGCTTCTTAGAAGATGCATTGGTCTTATTATTCTTGTGGTTTTATCATTATTGCTATTTGTCTTCCATGCATATGGGCAAAGAGGACAGAGCCACTTGTCCTATTCTGACTCAACAAAATATTTGTACCTCTCAGAATCGTAGGTGCAAATTATTGTTGTTGGATGCTGTTGAGTTGATTCCGACTTATAGTCACCCCACGCAGGAATAGAACTGTCCCATAGGGTTTTCTAGGCTGTGATCTTTACAGGAGTAGATCGCCAGGTCTTTCTTCCATGGAGCCACTGGGTAGGTTTGAAGCACCAGTCTTTCCCCTAGTAACCAAGTGCATAACTGTTTCACCAGTAGGGCTCCTTAGGTGCAAATTAAATGCTGTTAATTGTGGAACAATAAATGATTAAATTAGGCAGCCCAGCAGAATTACAGGTTTGTAGAGGTGAAAGTTACCTCCGCAGGCCATAGAACAACGCCTGTAGTCTGGGTATCCTGTGAAACACCTGTGTTAGAAACAACGCTGCAAGGACAGTTTTATGATGCAGAATCATATCTGATTTTCTGCAGCTGCAGAAGTGGGAACATTTTCTTCTAATCATGCTGAGATTTCTTTTTACCACTCTGTATGTAATGGATTGAATGATGTCCACCAAAAATATGTGTTGTAAATCCTTATCCCTATAGCTGTGGTTATAATCCCATTTGGGAGTGAGTTTTCTTTGTTATATTAACCAAAATCAAACCCGTTGGCAACAAGCCAATTCCAACTCATAGTGACCCTATAGGACAGAGTAGAACTGCCCCACAGGGTTTCCAAGGCTGTAATCTTTACAGAAGCCGACTGCCACATCTTTCTTCCATGGAACAGCTGGTGGGGTCGAACCACCAACTTTTCTGTTAGCAGCCCAGCGCTAAACCACTGTTCCCCCAGGGCTCCTTTTGTTATGTTAATGAGGCAGTATTAGTGTGGAGTGTGTCAGTCTCTTCTGAGATATAAAGAAGATTAGGCAAGCCACAAGCAAGCAGAGATGGGGAAAGAGAGATGCCACATCACATGAAGATCGCCCACGAGCAGAAGCTCAAAAGAGTCAAGGATCTTTCCCCGGAGCCGACAGAGAGAAAGACTTTCCCCATAGCCGGCACCCTGAATTCAGACTTCTAGCCTCCTAACTGTAAGAAAATAAAGTCCTATTGGTTAAAGCCACCCACTTATGGTATTTCTGTTATAGCAGCACTAGATAACTGTGACACTGTTAAAGCCTCCAATTTCAGGCCCAGTGCTGGAATTCCATGAGTTAGCAGTGAGCAAACCAACTTCAGGCCTGAGATGCCCAAAACTTACACTATGGAAAGGGCAAAGGCACAGTTTGTCATGGATTCCATCTACAGGGTCAGAATGACCTGGGGTTTAAAAAAAAAAAAAAAAAAATGTCTTGAGGTCGAAACAGCCTGTGTCACTATCTGACTCTTGCTTTAGAAACAGAGACCCCGGCAGAAAGCGTTTCAGAGCCTGCGGTGGCCGTGAAGAAGGAGCCACAGGATGGGGACCAGACCAAGCCTCCCCCCAGGCCTCCCAAGATGATCAGCAGTTTCTTCAGTGAGTCTCCCTTCCCACCTCATCTACCCGGGACTGCGCACGAAGGAGTTCGGTGGTTTCTTCTCTAGTTGGTGGTGGTGGTCTTCATCAAGCCAGTTAGGGCTCATGGTGACCCCACATGTACAGAGAAGAACTGTGCTCCATGGGCTTTCCAAGGCTGTGACCTTTTGGAAGCAGATCGCCAGGCCTATCTTCCGAGGCACCTCTGGGTGGGTTTGAACCGCCAACCTTTCAGTTACTAGTCCAGCGCTTAACCACCCACAGCACCCAGGGACTTCTTTCTCCAGATCGCACTGCAAACCCCTTCTGGCCTTGCACCTCTTAGAAAGTCTCTGTCTCGTCCCTTCTGGCTCCTCACTGTCTCCCCAAGCGTTGGGGCAGTGCTGGGTGGAGAGGGGTTGGGAACTATCAGAAGGAGAAAGGACCCACGATTTCCTGGCTTCATTCCCAGCCCCTCGAAAGCCAGCCACCAAAAAAGAAGTGAAAGAAGAGGGATCAGACGCTCCGGGAGAAGAGGAGACCAAGGGGTGAGTCGGAATCCGGGTCTGGAAAATACCTTCTGGGCCTGTTCCCTTTTCTCTGTTCTCGCGGCCTCGGTCCCAGCTCAGATCTCCTTCTCTTGCAGGAAGTGGCAAGCTTTTCCTGTAAAGAGCAGCTGTTGTTCACTGTCGAGTCGATTTCTGACTCAGCGACCACATGTGACAGAGTAGAACTGTCCCACAGTGTTTTCTAGGCTGAAATCTCTACAGGAGCGGATCACCGGGTCTCTTCTCCCACGGAGCAGCTGGGTGGGTTTGAACCACCAACCTTTTGGTTAGCAGCCAGACGCTTAACCATTGCACCACCAGAGCTCCTTTATAAAGGACTAGGGCTAGATAGCATATATTTTAGGCTTTCTGGGCCACATTTGGCCTCTGTTGCGAAGCCATTCCTAGCTCACAGGCCCATGGAAACCAGTCCGGGGTGTGGTTTGCTGCCCCCTCACCCCAGCCTCCTCCCTGGCCACGGCTTCCAGTCCTTCATCTTCATTCTGACACCTGTATGGGCCCGGGGGGCTCTTTCTGATACCCAGAGTTGACCCTGCCTCTAATGGCTCCGTAGCATCCCAGGACAAAATCTAAGCCCCTTCATCCTCTGTTCCTGCCCACCTCACCAGCCTCGTTTCTTACTCCTCTGTCCCTGTCCCGCTGAACTCACCAGATTTAGAGTATGCCTTAAAAGCCGATGGGCACGTGTACTCTCCGTTAAAATGTAGTGAGCACCTCTCCTGTGCCCGTCAGGGTGAACCACTCAAACCTTCCCTCCCTGCCCAGTCCCTCAGGTTGCTCAGTTATTGAGGCCATGAGACACTGGATAGGCTGTTAATTTGTTGTTGTTGTGTGCCAAAGAGTTGATTTCGACTCAAAGCAACCCCACGTGATAGGGTAAAACTGCCTCGTAGGGTTTTCTTTGCTGTAATCTTTACAGAAGTAGATCAGCAGGTCATTCTCCCATGGAGCCGCTGGGTGGGTTCAAACCACCAACCTCTGAGTTAACAGCTGAGCGCTTACCCGTTGCACAACCAGGACTCCTATAAATAATAAGTTCATTGTAATTGTGTTAAGTGCTTTGAAGAGATGATGTGTTGGCCAATTACATGTCATAGGAGGCTTGCTGAAGGTTTGTTGAATGAACAGTCGGATGAATGTGTGTGTCGAGAAACACTCTACAAAGCAATGAAATCAGGCCCCTGTCCCTGCCCTGCTCAAAACCTATCTAGGACTCCCCAGCACCCCACAATACAGGCCGGGCTCCTCAGGGCCCGTCATGATCTAGCTCTGCCCGCCTTATGTTAACGTAAGTCTCTTCCTTGCTCCCTGTTGTTGTGTGCTGTCCAGTTGATTCTGACTCATAGCGACCCCACAGGACAGAGTAGAACTGCCCCGTTGGGTTTCCAGGGCTGTAATCTTAATAGGAGGAGATTGCCGGGTGTTTTCTCCCATGGAGCCTCTGGGGGGGTTTGAACCACCAGAGTTTTGGTTAGCAGCCAAGCTGTTAACCACTGCACTACCAGGGCTCCTTGATAAGTGATGTAATGAAGGGGAACGGGAAACACTGGGAGGGGGAAAGTTGCAGGTTTCAACAGGGAATCCAGGGAAGAACTCACTGGGAAGATGAAATTTGAGTAAAAGACTTAAAGGAGTTGAAGGAGTGGGGCCCGGGGGAAGAAGGTTCCGGGTGGAGGGAATAGCAGTGCAAAGGTTCTGAGGTGGGAGCATGTCTGGGGATGTTTGAGGAGCAGCGAGGAGGCCTGTGTGGCTGGAGGAGAGTGAACAAGGAGGACAGTAGTAGGAGATGCAGTTAGAGAGGTGGCAGAGCCAGCTTATGGTAAGGCTTTGTAAACCCTTGTCAGGACGTTGCTGTTTAATCTGACCTGACATGGGCTTCGAGCAACCAGTCATCTGATTTATGCTCTAAGACGACCCTCTGGCTGTAGTGGTGAGAATAGACTGAAGAGGGTCAAGGGTGGAAGCAGGGGTCCGGAGAGGAGGTTACTGCAGTAATCCATGCAAGAGATGGTGGAAGTGGTGAAAAACACTGAACTTTGGATCCTGTCTTAGCAGGTAGGATTTGTAGTAGATGAGTATGACAAGGGTGAGGGAAAGAGGAGTCAAAGAGAGGGTTTAGGCCTGAGCACCCGGCAGGATTGACCCGCCATTGACTGAGACAGGGAAGACGGGAGGAGGAGCAGGTTTGGGGCTGAAGTTTTGACTGTGTTAAGCTGAAGACGTCTGTGAGGAATCGAAGCGGAGAGGCGAAGGATGTCATCGGATATGTGAGTCGAGTTCAGGAAAGAAGTTGAGACTAGAGAGATAAACTTAGGAGTCATCAGCGTATGTTGTTGTTGCTGTCGGGTGACATCAAGTTGATGCCGACTCATAGGGACCCCGCGCACAACAGAGTGAAACACTGCCTGGTCCTGCACCATCCTCACAGTCATTGCTGTTTGAGCCCTTTGTTGCAGCCACTGTGTCAGTCCATCTCGTTGAGACCTTTCCTCTTTTTTGATGACCCTCTACTTTACCAAGCATGTTGTCCTTCTCCAGGGAGTGATCCCTCTTGATAACATGTCCAAACTACATGAGACAAAGTCTCGCCATCCCCACTTCTAAGGAGTATTCTGGCTGTACTTCCTCCGAGACAGATGTGTTTGTTCTTTTGGCAGCCCATGGTATTTTCAGTATTATTTGCCAACACCATAATTCAAAGGCGTCAATTCTTCTTTGGTCTTCATCTGTTGCCCAGCTTTCGCATGCAGATGAGGCAATTGAAAATACCAGGACTTGGTCAGGCACACCTTAGTCTTCAAAGTGACAACGGACTCATGGTGACCTTATATAACAGAGGAGAACTGCCCCTTAGGGTTTTCTAGGCTGTAATCTTTATTGATGCAGATTGCCAGGTCTTTCTCCCACAGAGCTGCTGGGTGGGTTGGAACTTCCAGCCTCGCAGTTGGCAGCCAGGCACTCAACTGGTATGTCACCAGGGCTCCGTCATCATCATACAGGTGGCATTTAGAGTTTAGACTAGAGTTGATCACCAGGGGAGTGAAGATGAATAAAAGAGAGAAGAGGCCCAGGGTCTGAGCCCTGGGGTGCACCAGCTTTACGAATAAAAGGAATTTACAGAAAAGCACGAAGAAGGAAATAAACGGCTATATGCAAGAGATCCTCACAGTTAATGTTGGTGTCTCCTCTAGTCTTATTTTTTCTGAACGAAGTGTATCATCAGGCTTCACACATAGTAGGAATTCAGTAAATATTGTGGACTCAATGAATGAAGGCGAAGACATCTTATGTGGGGGCTAGGAACTTTTAAGATTTGGCCAGATTTAAAACTCGCCTCATTTGGGGCTTCCTCCTGCCGGGTTAAGGAAGGGAGGCCGGGACTTGGGTTTGTTGAACTATTGCTGCCATGTGGCATAAGTAAAATCCTGTTTCCAGTCCCCCCTGCCCTTAGCTTAGAAAGTAATGCCATTTTTTTTTATTATTATTATTTTTCAAAAAATGTTTTGCCAGGATACAATTAAATCTCTCATCATGCCAAGAATCAGGAAAACCACATTGTGAGTGAGAACAATCAACTGACACCAATACCAAGATGAATCAGATGTCATATGAAAAACTAGAAAAATCTCAACAAGGAGACAGAAGTTATAAAAAAGAGTCAAGTGGAAATTCAAAAACTGAAAAATATAGTAACCGAAATAAAAAACTTGCTGGATGGTCTCAGTAGTAGAGTGGCTATGACAGAGGGTAGAATCAGTGAACTGGAAGACAAATCAATGGAATTTACTCAGACTGAACAATAGAGAGAAAACAGACTGAAAAAAAAATGAGCAGAGCCTCAGAAATCTGTGGGACGATAACAAAAGATCTAACATTTGTATTGTCGGAGTCCCAGAAGGAGAGGAGGAGGAGTGTGGAACTGAAAAAGTATTTGAAGAAATGATGACTGAAAACTTTCAAATCTGATGAAAGATATAAGCTTACGCATTCAAGAGGCTGAGTGAACCCCATGGAAATTCACACCAAGACACATCACAAATAACCTTCTGAAAACTAAAGGCAAGAGAAAATCTTAAGAACAGCCAGAGAGAAACAATACTTTACCTGTAAAGGAGCACTCATTCACATAAGATCAGATTTCTCATCTGAAATCATGGAGGCCAGAAGGAAGTGGTACAATATTTTTCAAGTGCTGAAAGAAAACTGTCAACCATGGATTCTGTATCCAGCGAAACTATCCTTCAGGCATGAAGGGGAAATAAACACATTCTCAGATGAAGAAAAACTAAGATTTGTTGCTAGCAGACCTATCCTTAAAGAATGGCTAAAGGAATGTCTCTAAACAAAAGAGAAGATTTGGACCTTTGGAACTGAAAGAAAACAATGAAATGAGTAAACATAGAAGTAAACATAATAGACTATCCTTCACTTCATGAGTATCTTCAGGCGTATTTCATGGTTTAAGCCAAAGTTATAACACCATCTGATGCGTTGCTCAGTGTAGTGTATGGAGGAAACACTTAAGATAATTATATTTTAAAAGTGGGGAGGGTAAAGGGATGGAAGCAGAAGTTTTTATACTTCCCTCTCAGTGGTAAGTCGTCAGCACTAGTTGACTGTGATAAGTTACAAATGTATATGGTAATACCTAGAGCAGTCACTAAGAAAATGATACAGAATGATACACTCAAAAACATTACAAATAAAAAGAAATTTTAAAAATGTACAAGTATCTTATAGGAAGATAAAAAAGAAACAGGAATGAGAAACGGAACAAACAGGAGAAAAAAGAACAAAGTGGCAGATAGCTATAATTACTTTACATGTTAATGGTTTAAATATACCAATTATAAGACAGAGATTGGCAGCGCACATAAAAAAATATGTCCCTGGGTGGCACAAACAGTTAAGCGCTTGGCTGCTAACTGAAAAGCGGTTAAGCACTCAGCTAATAGTTGAAAGGTTGGTGGTTTGAACCCACCTAGAGGCTCAGTGGGAGAAAGACCTGGTGATCTGCACCCATAAAAATTACAGCCTAGAGAGCCTTGTGTAGTTAGGTGTCATCGAGTCGGTTCTGACTCATGGTGACCCCACGTACAGCAGAAGGAAACACTGCCCAGTTCTGTACCATCCTCACAATAGTTGTTATGCTTGAGCCCATTGTTGCAGCCACTGTGTCAGTCCATCCCATTGAGGGTCTTCGTCTTTTTCTCTGACCCTCTGCTTTGGCAAACATCATGTCCTTGTCCTTCTCCAGGGACTGATCCTTCCTGACAGCATGTTCAAAGTATGTGAGATAGAGTCTTGCCATCGTTGCTTCTAAGGAACATTCTGGCTGTACTTCTTCCAGGACAGATTTGTTCATTCTTTTGGCAGTCCGTGGTATATTCAATATTCTTTGTCAGCACCACAATTCAAAGACATCAGTTCTTCTTTGGTCTTCCTTATTCATTAAAAGCCCTATGGGACAGTTGTACTCTGTCATGTAGGGTGGATATGAGTAGGAGTCAACTTCCTGGCACCTAACAACAACAACATTTTGTAGATATTTTAACTATATCTCTAACCCTCACAGCAAGTTTTAAAGTATGTATCACATTCCCTGTGGTATAAATGACGAAACTAATTACAGAAGGGGTTAAGTAGCTTGCCCTGTCACACAGCTGCAGAGTGGAAGAACTGGGTACACACTCCCATCCGTCTGTTTCTCAAAGCCATTGCTCTAGAGTCTATTCCGACTCCTGGCAAATATTTCTCAAGTGTGTGTTGATTCCACCACATCACACTAACTCTCCAGTGCTGCAAATTCTTAACTAAAATGAAAAATTGTTAAGAATTCTTTGGGACCCAGAATCTGGCATGGGGCAGGTGCTCACTAAATGCTTGTTGGGTGTCATACGTTTAAGTGCTGGCCAGACTTTACTCCCATAGACCTGGCATCTCCACACAGTGGAAGCCTGAAATTATTGTTAGTTGTCATTGAGTTGATTCTGACTGATGGCAACCCCATGTGTGCAGAGTAGAACTTCTCCACAGGGTTTTCGGAAGCAGATCACCAGGCCTGTCTCCCAAGGAGCCTCTGGGTGGGTTTGAACCACAAACCTTTCTGTTAGCAGCCAAGCACTTAACCGTTGCACCACTAGGGCTCCATTGAACCCTAAACCAAACCAGTTGCTGTAGAATTGACTCTGATTCAGGGCGACCCCATATGTGTCAGAGTAGAACTGTGCTCCAAAGGGTTTTCAATGGCTGGTTTTATGGAAGTAGATTGCCAGGCCTTTTCTCTGAGGTGTAGCTTCCAGTATCACTTGCAGTATGCATGCTACCAAAGTATGACAACTGACAGATGGTTAGGGAAAGAAACATGTTTGGGCCTTTGTTAGTTGCTGTCAAGTCGATTCCGACTCATGGTAACCCATCCCAAGTGTGCAGAGTAGAACTTGCTCCATAGGGTTTTCAAGGTTATCACCTTTCAGAAGCAGATTGCCAGGCCTTTCTTCTGAGGCAACTCTGTATGCCCCAGTATATCTCCTGAAATTATGACTAAAAAGGGAGAGCTAAGGGTTTCCCACTGAGAGGAAATTTTACCTTAGGCTGTTGTGATTCAATACCATTGTATTAGGTTCATTATTCAAAAATATTTAATGAGCAATTTCAGACTGTCTCTCCCCATATGGGGCTTATAGCCGGACTTGGAAGAAAAAGGTGTGCATGTAATTGTCATAAGAATGACAAAAGCCATAAAGGAGAAATGCACTGCACTGGATACAATGGAGCCCTGGTGGCGTAGTGGTTAAGAGCTACGGATGCTAACCAAAAGGTCGGCAGTTCAAATCCACCAGCTGCTCCTTGGAAACCCTATGGGTCAGTTCTACTCTGTCCTGTAGGGTCACCATGAGTTGGAATCAACTCGATGCCAACAGGTTTGGTTTCTTTGGCCATAATGAATAAAAGTCTGAGGCACACACTTATCTAATTGGCCAAAGAAAACTATGGCACAATAGAATACAAGGAATTAGACATGTACATGAATTTAAAAATATTCTGCATTGAAATATCAGAAAAGTTTGTCGTTGTAGTCAAAGGCTTATCTCCTGACATAGTTGTTTTTTTTTTTAAATAATTTATTTTATTTTTGTTGAAGATACACATTTAAATAATTTATTTTATTTTTGTTGAAGATACACACAGCAGAACATACACCAATTCAACAATTTTTACACGTACAATTCACTGACATTGGTTACATTCTTCAAGTTGTACAACCATTCTCACCCGCCTTTTCTGAGTTGTTCTTCCATTAACATAAACTCACTGCCTGAGTTTCCTAAGTTTTTCAGTTGCTGTTGTCGATTTGATGTCACATAGATAGACCTTTAAAAGAGAGCACAATGCTCAAGACATTCTTTACTAGTTAAGCTAAACTATTGTTTGGTTTAAAGAAGACCAGGGGGTATTTTTGGTTTAAGGTTTAAAGGTATCTCAGGGCAGTAGTTTTAGGGGTTCATCCAGCCTCCATGGCTCCAGAAAGTCTGGATTCCATGAGAATTTGGAGTTCTGTTCTTCATTTTCCCCTTTTCTGGAGGCCTTTGTAATATAGAGATGTCTTAGGTATCTAGCATTACTATAGCAGAAATAGCACAAGTGGATGGCTTTAACAAACAAATTTATTTTCTCACAGTTTAGGAGGCTTTAAGTCCGAATTAAGGCACCGGCTCTAGGGGAAGGCTTTCGCTCTCTCTGTCGGCCCTTTTCAGGTTCTTCTCCTGGCATCTCACTTCCCCTATCTCTGCTCACTCTCTTGTTTAATCCCTTTTATATCTCAAAAGAGATTGATTTTAGACATACCCCATGCTAATACTGCCTCATTAACATAACAAAAACCCAAACCAAACCCACTGCTAATGAGTCCATTCTGACTCATAGTGACCCTATAGGACAGAGTGGAACTGCCCCATAAGGTTTCGAAGGAGCAGCTGGTGGATTCAAACTGCTGACCTTTTGGTTAGCATCCGTAGCTCTTAACCACTGTGCCAGCAGGGCTCCTAACAAAGAAAACCCATTCTTGAATGGGATTATAACCACAAATATAAGGGTTAGGGTTTACAACACATATTCTGGGGGGACACAGTTTGATCCCTAATAGCCTGTTTCTCAGAGTGAACTCTAAAAAATGTTCAGGGTATGTCGCTTCACTCCAGCCACGCTGACCCCTCTTCTGTTCCTCAAACATGTCCAGCGTGTCGCTACCTCAGAGCCTTTGCACTCGCTGTTCCCTCTGTCAGGCATGCTATTCCCTGTGCTCTCTACTCTGCTCAGTCCCCATGTCGTTCTGCCCGTACGTCTCCTTGCACGCCTTCTCTGGTCCCCCCTGAAGTCACACCTCCCACCTGTTCACTCCCCCTGCTTGCCTTTATTTTCTCCAAAACAATTTTTTTTAAACACCAAAAATTATTTGCTTATATGGTTTGGTTTTTGTTTGTTTGTTTCCCCTGAGTCCCACTAGAATGTGAGTTCCAGGTTAGCGAACTTGCTTTTCATTCACTACTGTGCCCTTGACCCCAGAACAGTGCCTGGTACAGAGTAACTGCAAAAACCAAACCCATTGCTGTCGAGTCGGTTCTGGCTCATGGTGACCCCATGTGTTAGAGTAGAACTGTCCTCCAGAGGGTTTTCAAAGCTGTGACCTTTATGGAAACGATTGCCAGGCTTTTCTTCTACAGCACCACTGAGTGGTTCGAACGACCAACCTTTAGGTTAGTAGTGAAGCACAAACCCTTGGTGCCCCCTAGGAACTTAAGATGCTCAGTAAATCTCAGGGGAGGAATGAGTTCTCTTTGACCCAGATATTAAGCCCACTTAATCTGCTTTTTGCCTCCTCAGGCCCCTGGACCCAGCGCACTACAATCCTGCCAAGAACAACTACCACCCTGTCGAAGATGCCTGCTGGAAGTCCGGCCAGAAGTGAGGCTTCTCCCATCCCAGACGGTCTCGCCACAGTCCATGTCACTGCGGGAGGCTCTTTAGCTGCAAGTGGTCAAATCTCTCCATGTTTCGGGGATGTGCAAGAGAGAGAGAGCCCTGGGCAGTGGGGTTGCTTGTGTGCATTTGGGTTTAACCAGGGAGGTGTTGTGGGGGAGGGTGGGCGGAGAGACAACATGGGCTGGGCAAATTGCTCCTGTGCCTCTTTCCCTTCCCCAGGGTCCCCTATCTGGCTGTGGCCCGGACCTTTGAGAAGATCGAGGAGGTTTCTGCTCGGTGAGTAAGCAGGCCTGCTGTGGTAGGGGTAGCATGGGGAGGGGCTGTCATGGCCTGTGCCTCACATGGCGGTGGCACCCAGTGGCACTGCCTGATCCTTCTCCTCTTCTTCCCCACCCTCACTTGCACCCTCATGATTCTTACTGAGTGTCTACTCCGACACTGGGAACTGAGCAGCTAATAATAACACTAATAAGAGTAATAACAAGAAAGGTGTTACTTTTGGTTGCTAGGATGGAGGCCCAAAGTATCAGTGTCTAAGATAAGGTAGAAATTTATTTCTGTCTTTTTTCTTTTTTTTAGAATACAAATAAAAGTTTACTGTACAAAATAAAGGCATTCGTATTTCAAAGTTCACTAAGGCTATAAGATTCTGACTCGTAGTGACCCTATAGGACACAGTAGAACTGCCCCATAGGGTTTCTAAGGCTGTACTCTTTATGGAGGCAGACTGCCACATCTTTCTCCCCTGGAGCAGCTGGTGGGTTCCAACGCCGACCTTTCGATTAGCAGCCAAGTGCTTTAACCTCCACACTGCCAGGGCTCCTTAAAGAAAGACTAGATAATTATCTAGGTCCTTCACAAAAATTTTACTTTCATTATCCCACCTGCTCCCAGTTATAAAATGGCCTGACCAAATGTTATCAAAACCAACATTATAAATAAAACCAAGTCCTTTGAAGAAGATTATCCCAAATGTTATCTTTCTCCATGTATCGGGGACACAGTCGGCAGCATTGCAGGAGACAGAGAGAACCCTGGGTAGTGGGCTGGCTTCTGTGCATTTGTTCTTCCCCCATTGACATAAACTCACTGCGCCCTAAGCTTCATATCTAACCTTTCGAGTTGGCTCTTGTCAATTTGATCCCATATAGATTATTCTTAAAAGAGCACAATGCTTGAGGCAGGTATTCTTTACTAGTGAAGCTAAACTGTTGTTTGGTTTAAAGAAGACTTCAGGAGATAGGTGATCTTCATGGCATGGGGCGGCTGATCTTAAATCCTTCCAAGCATCCCCGGCAGCTCCAGCCTGCCCATCATTTTCAAATTCAACAAATGCAGTGTCATGTCTCCCAGGTACCAAGCCCACTTCCTGGAAGCCAAGGAACTGATTAAACAGCATGGATAACAGTCTGGATGTAAGCAGTCCAGGGCTGGCACATAAAGGACATCAAATCATGATGCCTCTTAGAATTAATGGCATCTTGGGATCGATGAACGTGGTCATTTTATGGGGGGATGGGCAGAGTGGGCCTCATTGAGAAGGGGACATTCAAGCAAACATCTAAAGGAGGAGAAGGAGTGAGCCCCATGGATGTCTAGGGGAATTGGGTTCTGGAAGGGCAGAGGGAAGACTGAGGGTAAAGGCCCGGAGGAGCTAGTATGCCAGTTTATTTGAAGAATAGTAAGGTCAGTGTGTCCTGAATAGAGTGAACAAGGGTAGAAGATGACTAGATTGTCTTGGGCAATGCTGACCAGTAGAACTTTCCATGATGATGGAAATGTTCTTTATCTGCACTGTCCAGTATGGCAGCCATGGGCCACATGGGGCTGTTGAGCACTTGCAATGTGGCTAGTGTGAGTGAGGAACGGAATTTTTAATTTTTAAAAATTTTAATTAATTTCTAAAATTAAAAATAGGCACATGTAGCTGGTGACCACCATATTGGATGGAGCAGCTCTAGGGACTTGTCAGCTGCTGTGAGGACTTTAACTCTTAGTCTGAGTAAGTTGGGAAGCCATTAGGGAGTTGAGGAAAAAAGAAACCCTGTTACCATTGAGTTGAGTCCACTTGTGGAAACCCCACGTGTGTCAGAGTAGAATTGTGCTCCGTAGGGATTTCGGTGTCTGTGACCTTTTGGACATAGATCAACAGACCTTTCTTCTGTGGCACCGTTGAGTGGATTTGAACCGCCAACCTTTCTGGTAATAGGCAAGCACAAACTGTTTGTGCCGCCTAGGGATCTAGGCAGTTGAGAAGAGGATTGAGACGATTGGATTTGGTTTTTGGTAGATGTTCTTGCTGTGGGGTGGAAAGCAGACCGTAGTGGGGCAACAGTGAAAGCCGGGAGCCCACGGAGGAGGCAGCTACAGCAGTCCAGGCTGGACAAGGGCAATAGCCTCGAAGGTCGTGAGAAGTGGTTGGATCCTGGAGTGTGTTGAAGGTGGAGCTCTCAGGAAGTGCTGATGGGTTGCATGTGAGATGAGCAAAAAAGGAAGGGAGGTCACTCCCAAGCTTTTAGACAAGTATTTACAAGGATGGAAAGAGCCCTGGTGGCGCAGTGGTTGAGTGCTTGGCAGCTAACCAAAAGGTCAGCAGTTCAAACCCACCCAGTGGCTCCTCAGGAGAAAAGACCTGGCGATCTGCTCCCATAAAGATTACAGCCTAGGAAACCCTACAGGGCAACTCTGCCCTGTCAGATGGGTCACTGTGAGTCAGAATCCACTCGATGGCACCCAAGCAACAACAAGGATGGAGTTGCTGCCTTTTGAGACGGGGCAGACTGGCAGGGAGCAAACCCGGGGAGGAAGGTCAAGAACTGAGTTGTGGCTGTGTGAGGTTTGAGATGGCTACCAGATGGTCAAGAGCGATGTGCTTAAAACAGCAGCTGGCACATAGGAAACACTGCATGCGCGTTAGCTGCTGTTCCTCCGTAGATGATCACCACTACCGTTACCATTGCTGCTATCAAACTGCCTTTTTTTCTTTAAAAAAAAGTTTTTGTTGCAAAATATACACAGCAAAACATACACCTGTTTGACACTTTCTTTATGTATAATTCATTGACATTGATTACATTCTTCAGGTTGTGCGGCCATTCTTGCTATCCTTTTCCAAATTATTCTACCACCGTTAACATAAGCGCACTACCCCCTAAGCAGATTGCTTTTGGAATTGGCACCGAATTTGGAATCGGTACTGAATTTCTCTCCCACCAAAACCAAAAAACCAAACCAGTTGCTGTCGAATCGATTCTGACTCATGGCGACGCCATGTGTGCAGAGTAGAGCTGCACCATAGGGTTTTCAAGGCTGTGACCTTTTAGAAGCAGATTGCCAGGCCTGTCTTCAGAGGTGCCTCTGGGTGGGTTGGAACCGCCACCCTTTCAGTTAGTAGTGGAGTGCTTACCTGTTTTCCCAACGCAGGGAGTATATGATGTGCCCGTGGCCCCAGGTCCTGCAGCCTGGCCCATTCTCCAGCCCTTTCCTCTTCTCGTGTCCCTGGTTCCTCTTGTTCTTCTCCCTTGACCCTGAAGAACCAGGTCATCACACCCCTGTCCCCTCCCTCCAGGCTCCGGATGGTGGAGACACTGAGCAACCTGCTGCGCTCTGTGGTGGCCTTGTCACCTCCAGACCTCCTCCCTGTCCTCTACCTTAGCCTCAGCCGCCTTGGGCCACCCCAGCAGGGCCTGGAGCTCGGCGTTGGTGACGGCGTCCTTCTCAAAGCAGTGGCCCAGGCCACAGGTAGGAAAGGGCTGTGGCAGAGGTACCAGGAGGAGATCTGCAAGGGAGAGCGGGGGCGGGGGGCTGAGGGTCTGCGAGGTGATGAAGGGGTCACTGAAGGTGGAGAATGGGGACCTGGTGGGGCAGGCTTTGCAGGGGTGCAGTGTCTTAGGGTTCTTAGGGTTCTTTAGGAAAACAACTGGCGGGGCAGTTCGACCCTGTCTTGTAGGGTTGCTATGAGTCGGAATCCACATGATGGCAACAGATGTATATATATGTTACCTTCTTCGAGTTGTATAACCATGCTCGCTATCCTGTTTCAAGTTATTTCACCACCAGTGACATAAACCCCCTACCCTCTAAGCATATTGGCCTTTGAATTGACACCAAATTTGGAATCGGCACTGAATTTCTTTCCCACTAAAACCAAAAAACCAAACCAGTTGCATGTACGTGTGTGTGTGTGTGTGTGTGTGTGTGTACAGACACACACCCACGGAGAGTTTGAACCCACCAGCTGCTTTGCAGGAGAAAAGTGTGGTAGTCTGCTTCCTTAAAGATTACAGCCTTGGAAACCCTATAGGGCAGTTCTGCTCTGTCCTATAGGGTCACTATGAGTCAGAATTGACTCAATGACAGCAGATACACAAACATACGCAAGTAGAGAAATAGATTTACTTCAAGGAAATAACTCACGTAGTTGTGGGGGCTGGCAAGTCCCAAACATGTAGGTTACGTGGCAGGCTGGAGACCTTCTGGCTCACAGGATTGTGGGGAGCTGATAGGTCCAAAATCTGCAGGTCAGGTGGCAGGCCAGAGACTTCTACAGGCTTTCGTCCCCAAACCTGTAGGTCAGGTGGTGAGAAGAGTGCAGGGTCGAGAGAGAGAGAACAAGCTCTGACAGAACATTCATTTATATTCTGAAGGCAGGCCACACCCCTAAGGAAACTCCCCTTTCAGCTGGTTGGCTGCTCACATCAAATCACAAAATGGAAGGTGATTCATTACACTGTACTACATTATATTACAGAGCAACAACCAGTCCAGTGTCTGGCCAAACTGCTGAGAATCAGCCTCACCAAGTTGACACATAAAATTAACCATCACTTGTGGGGAGAGAGTGAGGGGGGGCAACAGTTCAGGTGTGAGAGGACGAGGCCCTATTGGGGCAGGGGCTATGGGCATAGAGAGGAGGGTCTATGGAAAGATGCTGGAGGCGAAGACGACAGGAGTTGGGGCTAGGATTAGAGATTGAGGTGTAGAGAGTGTCTTAGTTTCCGAGGGCTGCTATAACAAAATGCCACACAAGCTGTGTGGCTTCAAAGAACAGAAACGTATTGTCTCACAGTTCTGGAGGCTGGGAGTCCGAATTGTAGGGCCTTGAAAGGACTGTGCTCCCTCTGTCTGCTTTAGGGAAGGATCCTTCCTTGTCTCTCAGCTTCTGGTAGCCCCAGGTGTTCCTTGACTTGTAGACATGTCCACAAGTCTACATGGTGTCTTCTCCCTGAATGGCTCTGTCTCCATGTCTGTTCTTACGGACACTACTCAGAAGCGATTCGGACCCACGTTACTCCAGTATGACCTTGTTAACTGATAACATTGTCAGAGACCACATTTCCAAACAAGGCCCCATTCACAGGTACCCCGCTTAGGACTTCAACATATCTTTTAGGGGACAGTTTAGTCCATAATAGCCTCTTACATAATTAGAGATAGGTATGTAACGAGCCATTTCAACCAGCTAACCAAAAAAAAAACCAGTTGCCACTTCCACTCGTGGCGACCCTGTATGTGTCACAGTAGAACTGTGCTCCGTAGGGTTTTCATGACTGTGACCTTTCAGAAGCAAATCCTCAGGCCTTTCTTCTGAGGCACCTCTGGGTGGGTTCGAACCACCAACCTTTCAGTTAGTAGTCGGGCGTTTACCCATTTGCACTACCCGGGGAACCTAGGTGAGCCTTAGGAACGGGGGTGTCCAGGGCCCACCACAAGCACATGCAGCTGTGGAAGCCCCACCCAGGCCACCCGAGAAGGGAGACACCCAGCTGTTCACCTCACCTCACCATCCACCCTACTCTCTCTCCCCAAGGTCGGCAGCTGGAGTCCGTCCGGGCTGAGGCAGCCGAGAAGGGCGATGTGGGGCTGGTGGCCGAGAGCAGCCGCACCACTCAGAGGATCATGTTGCCCCCTCCCCCACTCACTGCTTCTGGGGTCTTTGCCAAGTTCCGTGACATCGCCCGGCTGGCCGGCAGTGCTGTGAGTGGGCAGGGTGGATCACCCACTCAGCTAGACCCTCTACTCATCCTCTCGGGGTGGAAGGGGGCCATGAAGCCACGTGTGTGGCAGAAAGTCTTCTGGTTTGACTGTTTGGGGCTGGACATCTCCATTCTGCTGTGGTGCTGAGCTTCCAGCTTCCTTGTTCCTGCTCTCAAGACCGAGGGAACAGCCTCTTGAGATTCTAGCACCTACTGCAGCTACCTGGGTGGCTCAAATGGTTTGTGCTCGGCTGCTAACTTAAAGGTTGTTGGTTCAAACCTACCCAGTAGCTCCACAGAAGAAAGGCCTGGCGATCTGCTTCTTTTAAGATTACAGCCAAGAATACCCTGTGGAGCAATTCTGCTTTGTCACATGGGGCCGCTGTGAGTCAGGACCGACTCGATGGCAGCTAACAACAGTACACTGAGTGCTACATGACCAACCAGTTGCCGTCGAGTTGGCTCCAACTCCGGGCAGCCCCGTGCGTGTCAGAGTACAACTGTGCTCCATAGGGTTTTCAATGGCTGATTTTTCAGTAGATTGCCAGGCCTTTCTTCTGAGGTACTTCCTGGGTGGACTCAAACCTCCAGCCTTTCAGTTAGCAGCTGAGCCCATGAACCGCTTGCACTCTGCCAATGACAGGACTCCTAATATTGGCTGGGTGAGGGAAGGGGAGGGGGCAAGAAGGAGGGCCAGCCCCCTTTTACAGCACAGAGAGCAAGGAGCCATGGGAAATGGGGATGGGGTGAGGATGGGGATATTCTAAAACAGGGAGGCGGCAGCACCTGGGCAGCTTAGCTGTAGGAGGAAGTGTGGTCTCCTTCCTTCCTGCCAGACCCTCACTCTTCTTCCCCATCCTCTTGCAGTCCACAGCCAAGAAGATAGACATCATCAAAGGCCTCTTTGTTGCCTGCCGCCACTCAGAAGCCCGATTCATTGCCCGGTGAGTGTGTGGGCCTGTGAGACCCCAGAGGTAAAAATAGAGAGGGCGAATAGCTGGAATCACCCCTGACTGTCCTTAGATGAGAAAAGCAGGAGCAAGGGGCCTAGGCCTGGGGGTGGGGAATACAGACTCCCTTTTGTAGGTGGCTCCTCTCCCTTGGATTCTGGGGCTAATGGGTAAACAGTGCTGTGATCGATTAGTGATGTCTTCCTTGGCTTGGATTCTGGGGAAGTGCAGCACCTAAGCCAAGTGTCATGATTGATTGGTGATGTCTGCCTTGGCCTGGGTGCCGTAAAGTGCAGCACCTAAGCCAAGCGTTCGCTGTGACAGTGAAAACAAAATCATTAGCAACTCACGTGCATGGAACTTGAGCTGGGTGCCCTTCCATGTGCCTCGTTCCTCCCACCAACTCTGTGAGGTGAGCACTGTTGTCCTCACCCCTGATTTATAGAAAGGGAAACAGGCAGAAGTTAAGACATTTGCTGAGGTCACTGGCTCAAATCAAGGCCTGTGCTGGGGTCAGGCTCTTGAGCACCACACGCCTTGGCATCACTGGGGCAGGCCGCACTCCTGGCTCCAGGCCCAGCTCTGCTCCTGATTTCCCCCTCCCCCACCCCCTCACCCTCTCACTGTCTTGGAGGGTAGCTGAGGTGAGGAGTGAGGGCACCTGCAGGGCACCTGGGTCTGCTCCTCCATAAATTCTGGGGGTCAGGGCTTCCGTTTCATCCTCCTTTCCTGCTTCTTAACCAAACAACAGTTCAGCTTAACTAGTAAAGAACGTCTGCCTTGAGCATTGTGCTCTTTTAAGAACTATCTATTCGGGATCAAAGTGACAAGAGCAACTCGAAAGGTTAGATGGGAACCTTAGGGGGCAGTGAGTTTATATTAATAGGGGAGGAACAACTCAGAAAAGGAAAGTGAGAATGATTGCACAACTCAAATATAATCAGCGTCACTAAATGTTACAGGTAGAAACTGTTAAATTTGTGTAGGTTCTGCTGTGGGTCTGCTCAATGACAAAAATAAAATTTAAAAAAAAAAATTGTCCTGGGTTTTGAGAAGGGTGTCTACAAAGGGTTGAGGTGAGAGCTGCTCGAGGACGGAGGAGCAGTGTGTAGGTGGCAAGGTTTGAAAGGTGTGAACAAATCCTTGTCTTCTCCTCCTTTTCCTCCCAGGTCCCTGAGTGGACGGCTGCGTCTCGGGCTGGCTGAGCAGTCAGTCCTGGCTGCCCTCGCCCAGGCTGTGAGCCTCACACCCCCCAGCCAAGGTGAGCACCTTTGGCCAGTCTTGGGGCCCATGATTCTCGTTAACCTGGGGTCTCTTCCCCTCCCCCTTCCCCCAGGGTCCCTGCCCCTGCTACCCCTCCAGGCCCTCCTGTCCCTGGAAGCCGCCTCTCTGCCCCCCTTCTCGGGAAATGTCCCCTACAGTCTCGTTTACCTTTCTTTCATACAACACACCACCCCATCTGTGGATCTCGGGGTAGCTGAGGGTGTGGGCCCAACTCAGAGCCTTGCTGGGTCCTTTCTTAGAATTCCCCCTGGCCATAGTGGATGCCGGGAAGGGCAAGACAGCAGAGGCCAGGAAAACGTGGCTGGACGAGCAAGGCATCATCCTGAAGCAGACATTCTGGTGAGGCTGGAAGGGCCGGGGGCAGAGCTCGAGGGGCCGGGGTCACAGCATGGGGTGAGGGTGGGGAAGCAGAGTGGAGGGACCAGGGGCAGAGTTCAAACGGCTGGCTGGGTGCAAACGGGCATTTGTCACCACCATGGGGCTAGTGCCAGAACGAGGAGTAGTGATCTGGACAAGGTTGATGAGCAACACAGGATGGTGACAGAGATGGAGGAGGTGGCAGACCATGAGGTGTCAGTGATTAGGGGTAGGGAGAAGCAGAGAGAGAGACAGCTGAGGGTGACAGGCCTCAGCGGTTTCAGAATTACCACTAGGGCTGGGCGCAGGGGAAGGACAGACCGTCAGAGACCTGAGGAGGGGCTGGCGATGGACAAAGAGTGGTGGTCAGGGCTCCAGCGAAATCCTCATAGAGCAACATTGGCCAAAGGCAGAAAACCACAGTTACGGTGATGTGGTGCTGCCCAGAGGGAGTGACAGAGGTTGGTCCAGGGCAGTGGCCTCAACCCTGCCTCCATGTTGGAGTCTAGAAAGTATTGACCCTGGGCCCCACCCCAGATCGTTGGAGGTGGAAGCTGGCCTTACTTTCTTTTTTTTAACACATGTTTGAGTGGATCTCGTGTCATCCGGGTGGAAAGTCACTGGTCTGATGATGACAAGAGGGTCGATGACAGACCCAGACTGAGGGAGACCGAGTTAGGGGGATACATAATGACACAGAGGCAGGACTGTGGCAGAGACAGGGTGATGGGGAAAGTCAGGAACGAGGCAAGCAAGCCCGACCCAGGATGTGGTGACAGGGACAGGCAGAGGTGCTCAGGAGCCCAGGCTTCAGGGGTGGGGTGAGAGCATTTCCCTAGAGTGGAGTTCCCAGGTGGCCCGAGTTCTGGAAACTCCCCTTCTCTCCCCACCCAGTGAGGTGCCCGACCTGGACCGCATCGTGCCGGTGCTGCTGGAGCACGGCCTGGAGCATCTGCCGGAGCACTGCCGGCTGAGCCCAGGTACTCCCGGGCCCCTTCCAGCCCCCACCCTCTGCCTCCACTCCCTGCTGTGGGGCAGGCGTCAGGGTGCCAGCTCCTAGGCGTCCCCTTAGGAACCCTCTTCAGAGGGTGCTCTTCTCTCCCTGTTCCCAGGGTGAGAACCCCTCCCACTTACCCGTGGAGTTTCCCCTTCTGTATTAGGGAGGGCAGAGGCGACCTAAGGAGCCCTGGTGGCGCAGCAGTTAAGCACTCGGCTGCTAACCAGAATGTCAGCAGTTCAAACCCACCAGCCATTCCACGAGAGAAAGATGTGGCAGTCTGCTTCTGTAAAGATTTACAGCCTTGGAAACCCTGTGGGGCAGCTCTGCTGTGTCCTGTAGGGTCTCTATGAGTCGAAATTGACTTGATAGCAACAGGTTTGGTTTTTTGTTTTTATGAGCCCTGTGGTGCAATGGTTAAGCACTTGACTGCTAACCCAAAGGTTGGCAGTTCAAACCCACACAGCAGCTCCATGGGAGAAAGTCCTGGCAATCTGTTCCCATGAAGATTACAGCCAAGAAAACCATATGGGGCAGTTCTACTCTGTCATACAGGGTTGCTATGAGCCCTGGGTATTGGGGTGCTTTAGCAATCTCTGCCACATTGCCTCTTTAATTTATTGCCTTCTCTTTGCCCCCAGTCTCCCTTAACTCCTTTCTTCTCCCCTTCCAGGGATCCCCCTGAAACCAATGTTGGCCCATCCCACCCGGGGTGTCAGCGAAGTCCTCAAGCGCTTCGAGGAGGCAGCTTTCACCTGTGAATACAAATACGACGGGCAGAGGGCACAGGTAGAGGGGACACGTGTCTTCACCTGGTGTAGGTGGGGGGGACACACGTACCTTTGCCAGGCACAGGTAGGGGTGGGGCACACCTTCACCAGAAGTGGAGTGCCAGGCAGCAGGGTATGGAGCAGCCAGAATGGGCTCACATGCTGCCTGTTTGACCTTGCAAGTCTGAGCTTTAGTTTCCATCTCTCTGCAATGGATGAGGGATAATAACCACCTCACCAGCTTATCTAAAGATGTTGTTGGATGCCATGAAGTCGATTCTGACTCATGGTGACTCCATATGATGGAGTAGAACTGCGCCATAGGGTTTTCCTAGGCTGTAATCTTTTTTTTCTAAATTTTTTATTTGAATATTGTGTTTTTGGTGAAAGTTTACACAGGAATTAGCTTCTCATTTCAGTGACATTGGTTATATTCTTCACAGTATATCAACATTCTCCTTATTTCCATTTTGGTTGTTCTGTTTCCATTAATCTAGCTTCCCTGTCCCCCACCTTGCCTTCTCGTTTTTGGTCTAGGTTAAATGTTTACCGTTTGATTTCATCTAGACAGTTATCTTGAGGAGCACAGTACTCATGGGTAATACTATTTTTTTTATGGGCCAAATGTCAGCTGACTAAGAGATGACTTCTGGGAGTAGTTTGAGTTCCAAGTCTAAAGCGTATCTCAGGGTGGTACCCTTGAGTATCACTATGTGAGTATTGGAGGTTCATCTAGTCTCTACAGGTCCAGTAAGTTTGGCCTTTTTTTAGGAATTTGAGTTTTGTCTTATATTTTTCTCCCATTCTATCTGGGACCATCTGTTGAGTCCCTGGTTGGAACGGTCAATAATGGTAGCCAGGCACCATCTAGTTCTTCTTGTCTCAAGGTAGGTGAGGTTGTTGTTTGTGTAGACTGTTGGTTCTGTAGACTAGTTTCTTCTTTGAGTCTTTGGTTTCCTTTTTTCTCTTTAGGTCCAGAACAGTAGAGATCAATAGTTGTATCTTAGATGGCTGCTCGCAAGCTTTTAAAACCCCAAATGCTACTCACCAAACTAGGATGTAGAACATTGGCTTTATAAACTATATTATATCCTCAGCTGTAACCTTTACAGGAGCAGATCACCAGGTTGTTTTCTTGTGGAGCCACTGGCTGGATTCAAGCCACCAACCTTTCAGTTAGCAGCCAGGCACTTAACTGTTGTGCTACCAAAGCTCCTCCTTTATCTAAAGATGAAACCCTCCAAATTCCTGACCCACAGTAGTGGGAGCTCAAGAAACGTGGGCTCCCCTTGTGCCCTGGTGGTGGGTGTGCAGACTCTAACAGCCACCCTGGGAGGCCCCTTGTCACCCCAGTGCAGTTACGTATGCGTGTGTCCTGTGACCCAGTGCCAGGGAAGGTCTTGGGCTAGTCTCCCAGGCTGCCTGCTGTGGCTCCTTTGTCCTGGCAGGGCGTTAGGGGCCACCTAGGTGCTCCTCGCATGGGGAGTGGATAAGCAAAGCGGGTGGGCGTGCGCATACGCAGTGCTTTGCAGCGGTTAGCAGCAGCGGTGTCATAGATGGATCTTAAAAATCGAGTGCTGAAAAAAAAGTCAATGATTTACAACAAGTGACAATAATTTTAAAAACATACACCTATTTCTTGGAGTCCTTGGATGGTACAGACGTTTAATATGCTTGGCTAGTAACTGAAAGGTTGGAGGTTCGCGTTTACCCAGAAGTACATCAGAAGAAAGGCCTGCCTGGCGATCTACTTCTGAAAAATCAGCCACTGACTACCCTATGGAGCACAGTTCTTCTCTGACACACATGGGGTCACCATGAGTCAGAGTTGACTCAGCAACAGCTGATAGGTATGTTGTTGTTGTGTGCCATCAAGTTGATTCCGACTCATAGCGACCCTATAGAGTAGAGTAGAACTGACCTATAGGATTTCCAAGGAGTGGCTGGTGGATTTGAACTGCTGACCTTCTGGTTAGCAGCTGTAGCTCTTAACCACTGCTGCACCAGATGCATATATGTAGCTCTGCTCAAGGATTGTGACCAAACTGTATTAAAATAAAGAAATGAAGACAGGACAACCAGAATGGAAATAATGAGAATGATCATACATCATGAAGAATATAATCAATGTCACTGAACAATATATATATAAATTGTTGAATGAGAATCTAAACTGCTGTGTAAACCTTCACCAAAAACACAATAGAGCATTATTTAAAAAATAATAAAGAAATGAGTAAACAAACAATAAAAATCAGAGTGATATTTAGGGCATGATAACATTTGGACAAATCAGCTTCTACACACACAGCAACACACATGCGTATGCGGGAGGGGAGCAGGGATTAGGGATGATGAAGAAAAACTGGGGCCGGGGGTTCCACAGTGATGGGAACTGAGGAGATGATTCACTCAGGTCTCTGCACCAGTTCTTCCAGAGCTTCTGGAACCTTCTGCCAGTGAGGGGTGGGTATGGGGAGAAAAGACGGGCCCCCTGGAGTGGACGTGGCTCTGATTTCCTTTCCCTCTTCCCCGTGCGGTGGCCAGATCCATGTCCTGGAAGGCGGGGAGGTGAAGATCTTCAGCCGGAATCAGGAAGACAATACTGGGAAGTACCCCGACATCATCGACCGCATCCCCAAGGTGAGTGTCTGCTGCGTCCACTCTGTCAGGAGCCGCTCTCACCATGTGGGGTTTGTTGGAAGGAGATCAGAATACATGTGGCTGCAGTTGGCAGAGTGCTGACTCACAGTGGCTTGTAGCTCCTGGCGACCCCATGTGTGACAGAATGAAACGACTGCCCGGTCCTGCACCGTCTTCACCATCATTGCTGTGCTCAAGTCCATCGTTGAGGCCACTGTGTATTTTGAGTGCCTTCCAGCCTAGGGGGCTCATCTTCCAGCACTATATCAGGCAACGTTTTGTTATGATCCATAGGGTTTTCATTGGCTAATTTCCAGAAGCAGATTGGCAGACCTTTGTTCCTAGACTTAGTCTAGAAGCTTCACTGAAACCTCGCCACCATGGGTGACCTTGCTGGTATTTGAAACACAAGTGGCAGAGCTGCCAGCATCACAGTCGCACGTCAGCCTCCGCGGTACAACAAACGGACAGACAGGTGGTGGCACAAACCAAACCAGTTGCCGATGAGTCGCTTCCGACTCATAACAAGCCTGTAGGACAGAGTCGGACTGCCCCATAGGGTGTCCAAGGCTGTAATCTTTACAGAAGCAGGCTGCCACATGTTCCTCCTTCGAAGCAGCTCATGGTTCAAACCACTGACATTTCTGTTGGCAGCTGAGTGCTTAACCACTGTGCCACCAGGGCTTCCACACGGTGGCTTAAACATATCTCATTTTTTCTCAAAGAAATCTGAAGGCGGACAGTCCAAGGCTGCCACAGCTGTGCAGAGCTGAACTCCCGAACCAGCTCGCTTCTCTCCTTCCTCTAGCATCCTAGGCTGGGTAGCTTTTCATCCCAACACTTGGCCCTTTACAGTCCCAGGACAGCAGCCACACTTCCAGACAGGAAGACAGAGGATCAGGGGTTCCGGCTCCCATCCCTCCTACCACCCCCAGACTCCAGCACTGTTGTCCAGCACTGGGTCCTGTGGCCACCCTAGTGCAGGAGAGGCCAAGACAGCCAGAATCGCGCTTTCCAGCCTCTACAGTGGGCAGAAGACGGGGAGGAGTGTACAGGGAGCCAGGTTCCTGGGTGGCACAAACAGTTTGCGCTGCAGTACAACCTGAAAGGGTGGCAGTTGGAACCCACCCAGTGTTGCTGCAGAAGAAAGTCCTGGCAATCTGATTCCATAAAGATTGCAGCCAAGAAAACCCTACGGAGCAGCTCCACTCTGTAACACATGTGGGCGCCACAAGTCGGAATTGACTTGGCAGCACAGTGGATTTTTTTTTTTTTTGGTAGAGGGAGCCAGCCTGCAGGTCCATCCTCGGAGTCTCACAGAAACAGAAATGTAAGCCCAAGAGTCGTAATAGGGCCGGGCCTCGAAGGTCCTGGAGCCAGGGGTCTGTCTGGACCCAAGGTGGGTGTTGGAGCTGTTTGAGGAATCCTCACCTCAGGAGCTCTTCTTGTTGCCTGGCCCTCATTGATTAGGAAATTGGTCCTGTCACAGAGTAGGAAGCACAGCATTTGGAATTCTTCCAGAGAAGGCGACAGCAACGGGACGAATGAGTGTGGGCATTCGTGGGCTCGTGAGGTGCCAAGCACTGTTGTTTTTTTTTTTTAAGTAAATTTTGTTAAGATGCAAAGTAAACAGTTTGATGAGTTTTGCTAAATTTTTACATCCATGAGACCAACACCCCAATCAGGATATAAACCATTTCCATATTTCCGCCACCCTAAAAAGTTTCCTCGTGCCTCTTGCCAGACATGCCGTCTCCCCCAGCCCTACACCATCCATCCACCAGAGGCAACCACTGGCCGGCTTTCTGTCAGCCACAGGCTGCCTCTGCCTGTTCTAGAGCATTAGGATGGTGTGTTTCAGAGTCCTTGTTTTGAACAGAAAGCTTTAATATAGTTAGGTTTGTAACACTGTTTAACAATCTTAGGAAGTTATAACAGTCTCTCTTAGGGAAGTTTTAACAAATTCTTTAGATAGGGGTTTTTGTGTGTATGGTGTTTTACAAAGTTTTCTAAGTAAAACAGTGTGCTGATGGGTTGGGGTTAGGGATAGGACTAAGTTATGGTTACGTTTAGGATTATGGTTAGCATTGGGGTTAGGGTTAGTGTAAGGGTTAGAATTCTGGTTAGAGTTAGGGCTACGGTCAGTGTTGGTGTGTTTAAGAGTCCTTGGTTTGAACATAAAACTTAACACCGTTACGTCTGTAACACCATGTGTTTAGTGTAAGGAGCCCGAGTGGTGCGGTGGTTAAGTGCTTGGCTGCTAACCAAGAGGTCATCAGTTTGAACCTACCAGCCACTCCACGGGAGAAAGATGTGGCAGTCTGTTTCTGTAAAGTTTTTGTGTCTGGCTTCCTTTGCTCTTTCACTCATCTTTCATTCATTCATTCAGCAGATACCCGTTGGGCATCTGCTCTGTGCCAGGCCCTGTGCTGGGGGTGCACAGGTCAAACATAGACAGATGTGGTCTCTACCCTCCCCGAGCCCATGGCCTAGTGCGGCAGGCAGATCCGCATTAGAAAATCTACTGTTGACCATATAATTACACCCAGAGAGCAGGGCTCTGAAGAAAAAGACCAACATTTTGTTAGTCTGTTGTTGTTAGGTGCCATGGAGTCGGTTCCGACTCATATGTTCAACAGGACAAAACACTGCCTGGTCCTGCATCATCCTCAAAATTGTTGCTATGTTTGAGCCCATTGTTGCAGCCACTGTGTCAGTCCGTATCCTTGAGGGTCTTCCTCTTTTTCGCTGCCCTGCTACTCCACCAAGCATGATGTCCTTCTCCAGGGACTGGTCCCTCCTGATAATATGTCCAAAGTATATGAGACGAAGTCTCACCATCCTTGCTTCTAAGGAGCCCTCTGGCTGTACTTCTTCCTGGACAGATGTGTTCATTGCTGGAATGTTCATGGTCTATTTAGTAGTCTTCACCAACACTGTAATTCAGTGAGAGTCTGTCCTGGAAACAAACTGGACTTGGCCTTGATGTCAGAGAAGCAGGGCTGTCACGTTGCCCAGCTCCAGGATACCACACAACTGGGGCCCCCTGGAGTTCTGCAATGCAGCATACTTTAGGGAAGGCTCCCCAGAAGGAGAAGGATGGGAAAAGGCATTCTCCTAGAGGGACCAGCATGTGCCCCTGTGGTGGGAGGGGACCTGGCCCATTGGAGAAACCAAGTGGCTGATGTGCTGGGCTTCAGAGAACACAGTTGAAGGGGACCGGGTGAGGCGTTGACTGAGGCACTGACCACTGGTTTATAGCAGGGATATGCTGTGATTGGATTTGGGGGTTGACAAGATCACCCAGGCTGCTGTGGGAGGTGGGGGAGCGTGGTCAGTGCAGGGGCAGGGAGACCAGTAGGCTGAGGGTCGCATCCCGTGAGGCAGCTGTGCTGGGGGTAGGGAGGCGGTGAGAAGTGGACCACTTAGAGAGAGAGATGTTGGAGGCAGAGTCAAGTCCACCGGCAGATTGAATGTGGGGTGAGAGGAAGAAGAAGATGACAGAGACCCCTGGGTTCCCAGCTTGTGTCTCCCAGGAGTAAGTCCTCATGAAGGGTACTTGTTCCCCCCGTTGAGGGGGAATAGGAAAAGAGGATCTGTGTTCACGTTTCTCTTCGTGGTTGGTTGGTGTCATCAGTGAATCTCGAGAGCTGAGGAAGGAAAAGGGAATCTGTTTTGCCATGTCTGTCTTGTGGCTTCGTCTTTTACCTCTTACCAGCCCTGCGTCCCTTCTTCACCTTTCAGATCAAACTCCCGTCAGTCACCTCCTTCATCCTGGACACTGAGGCCGTGGCTTGGGACCGGGAAAAGAAGCAAATCCAGCCATTCCAAGTGCTTACCACCCGCAAACGCAAGGTGGCCTCAGCCTCCCTCCACCCACTACCACCGTCCACTGTCGCACACACCATTCTCCCAGCCCAGTCCGGTGGTCCTGCTGAATCCCCAAAAGGCAGAGCATCAGTTGGGATGCAGTTCTCTCAGCCTTTTGCAAAATAGCTGCCACAGCTCCAGCCATCACGTACTCACCCCAAGTAGGAAGTGGGGGAAGAGGCTCTTGCCCTGCATCTCTATCTTTTTACTATGAAAGAAGATCTGTCCCCATAGCCCCCACAACCTGCACCCCAGCAGACTTCCCATTTGCTACTCATTGGCTGGAATTGAGTCATGTGACCACCATCAGCTGCAGGGGAGACTAGGAAAGCAGACATCTGGTAAAGGGGAAGGAGGTTGTCAGGATTAGCTGAGAGCCATCATGTTTCAGGGCCCAGGGCCAGCAGCACTGCTGCCCACACAGACATGTGGTTCTGTTAGCAAGGGGCCAGGGGGCAGAGAGGTGACTGGTGTCTGCCTCAGTCAGGTCTCTCACCTTCCCCTGCTCCTCATCTCCATTCTGCCCCAACCCAGGATGTGGACGCATCGGAGATCCAGGTGCAAGTGTGTTTGTACGCCTTTGACCTCATCTACCTCAACGGAGAGGTGAGTTCTAACTTCCTGTCCAGTAGGAGCCTGAGGGGTGGATGGAAGGGTGGTGAACTCGGGAGCCAGTTGGGGTTCTGCTTCTGACTCTACCACTTCACTGAGCGGGGAGGCCGCACTTGGGAAGTGGTCTCAAAGTGTGGTCTGAGGACCCTTGTGGGTCCCCAAGACCCTTCCAAGGGGGTCTGCGAGGTCCACCCTTTTTCAACTCCCTAACATCTGGGTGGCGCGAATGGTTTGCGTTTAACTACTAACCAAAAGGTTGGCAGTTCAAACCTACCCAGTGGCACCACAGAGGAAACACCTGGCAATCTGCTTCCAAGAAAGCCCTATGGAGGTCAGTTTTACTCTGTAATACATAGATCACCATAAGTTGGAATTGACTCAACAGCAATTGGTTTTAATAAAGTGATAGTTTTAGTCTGGAAGCTCTGCTGACCCTGCTGGTATTTGAAATACCGGTGGCGTAGCTTCTAGCATCACAGCAAAATGCAAGCCACCACAGTACGACAAACTGACAGATGTGTGGTGGATTAAGACTGACTAGGAAGAAAGGCCTGGCAATCTACTTCCAAAACTTAGCCAGTGAAAACCCTATATGGATCACAACAGAATATTGTCCAATATAGTGCTGGAAAATGAGCCCCCTAGGTCAAAGGCACTCAAAAGACACAGTAGCTGCAGCAGTGGGCTTGAGCATGCCAACAATTGTGAAGACAGCGCAGAACTGGGCAACATTTTCTTCCCTTGTACGTGGGGTCGCCATGAGTGGAGCTGACTCACAGTAACTAACAGCAAAGTATTCAAACTCAAACAAGACCGTTGCTGCACTTGTCTGATGTTCTGTGCCCCTCAGGTCACCAAACCAGAAAGCCAAACCTGTTGCCGTCGAGTCCGTTCCCACTCATAGCGACCCTATAGGATAGAGTAGACCTGACCCATAGGGTTTCCAAGGAGCGGCTGGTGGATTCGAACTGCAGACCTTTTGGTTAGCAGCCAAGCTCTTAGCCACTATGCCACCAGAGCTCCCCTGAGGTCACAGAGCAGTCAGTTTTCTCTAGCCCCTCATGCTGATGACCAGCCCCATTCTTCAGATCCTCCATGTCTTTATGTCAAGGTGATTCTTCCCCCCTCAGGGCTTTCCGTGACCTAGCATTCCCTGTTTCTCCCAAGATTCACTTCCTTGTGTGCTGTCTTTGTTTCCTAGTGCTGCCGTAACAGAAATACCACAAGCAGGTGGCTTTTAAGAACAGAAATTTATTTTCTCAGAGTTTGGGAGGCTAAAAGTCCAAATTCAGGTTGCCGGCTGTAGTGGAAAGCTCCCTTGCTCTCTGTCTGCTCTGGGGGAAAGTCTGTCTCTTTCAGCTTCTCCACGGTTCCTTGGTGATCTCCACGTGGCATCTATCTTCCCCATCTGTGCTTCCTGGCTTCTGTGCTTAATCTCCTTTTATATCTCTGAATCCATCAGTTTAAGATACACCCTACACAGATACTACCTCATTATCATAACAAAATTCTATTCCCAAGTGGGATTAGATTACATCCACAGGTATGAAAAAAAACTTGTTGCAGTCAGGACCCTATAGATCAAAGTAGAACTACCCCATGGAGTTTCCAAGGCTGTAGTCTTTACAGAAGCAGATCTCCAGGTCTTTGTCCTGCAGAGTCGCTGGCGGGTCCAAACTGCCAACCTGTTGGTTCCTAGTCAAACACTTCTACCACTTCACCACCAGAGCTCCTTTCACAGGTATAGGGGTTAGGATTTTCAACACATTTTTGAGGGAGACAAGTCAATCCATAACAGGGGCTTACTCTCCTTATTTCACAACGTCATACCCCCTTTTCCCCACCTCTCCCTCAGTCCCTGGTACGAGAGCCCCTTTCCCGACGCCGGCAGCTGCTCTGGGAGAACTTTGTGGAGACAGAGGGCGAGTTTGTCTTTGCCACCTCCCTGGACACCAAGGACACTGACCAGATCGCCGAGTTCTTGGAACAGTCGGTGAGAGGTGAGGGCCCAGCTCTTCTCTTTGTCTACATATATCACCCTTCTGCGGCCTGCATTGATCCCAGCCCTTGCCTCTCGCCCACCCTCGGTGATTTAGGGGTGTGGTCACAGTTATCTAGTGCTGCTATAACAGAAATATCACAAGTGGGTGGCTTTCACAAACAGAAATTTATTTTCTCACAGTTTAGGAGGCTAGAAGTCTGAATTCAGAGCACTGACTCTAGGGGAAGGCTTTCTCTCTCTGCCTGCTCTGGGGGAAGGTCCTTGTCTCTTTTCAGCTTCTGCTTCCTGGCTCCGTGGCCATCTTCACGTGGTGTGGCATCTAGCTTCCCCCACCTGTGCTTGTTTGCTTGTGTGCCTAACCTGTTCTTTTTATATCTCAAAAGTGATGGCTTGCACAGCTCTGAGAATATATGAAAAACAGTTGTGTACTTCACATGGTTTTAAATCATACAGTATATGAATGATACCTCAATACAGCTAGGTTTTTTTTTTTTTTTTAAGTGAAACGTACGGCCTCATTAACATAACAAAGAAAACCCATTCCCAGATGAGATTACATCCACAGGTATAAGAGTTAGGGTTTGCAACACATATTTTGGGGGGACACAATTTAGTCCATAGCAGGTGGGGTTCCTCCTGCCCCAGCCCTGAGGAGCAGGGGGCTTATGAAGCGCATATCTCTGTCTCCTCCAGACTCGTGTGAGGGGCTGATGGTGAAAACCTTGGATGTGGACGCCACCTACGAGATCGCCAAGAGGTCGCACAACTGGCTCAAGGTGACCCCCAGCCACCCCTCTGGCCTTCCCAAGAGCAGGGTGGGAAGTCTGTCCTGACCTGTAGTCTGTTTCCTCTCCACACCTCCGCCGTCTGAGTTCAGGGGCCCTTTTCACCATCTACCCTGTCTTCCCTCTAAACCCTTGTTAATGAACTCACCAGGAATCTGTTGAGGACCTGCCAGGAGCCAAGCCCCAAGCATTGCATATACCACAGTGCAAAAGTCAGGCAGGTTTCAGCCCTCCCTGACCTTCCTTCCAAAAGGTCCCTGGGTGGTGCAAGCAGTTTGCGATCCACTGCTATGATCCTAAAGATTGGCGGTTTGAACCCACCCAGCAGCACTGTGGAAGAAAGGCCTGGTGATCAGCTTCCATAAAGATCACAGCCAAGAAAACCCCACAGAGCCGTCCTACTCTGTAACATATAGGGTTGCCACAAGTCAGAATCAACTCAAAGACAACGGGTTTGGTTGAGTTTGGAGCTTGCCTTCCAGGGGCAGGTGAGGCAAACAGAAAAGAAGTCAACCAGTGGGGAATGAGAGGCAGTCAGGCAGTTAAAACGCACAATGAAGAAAGTAGGTGATATCCAGGGCCAGAGAGGGACCAGCAGTACTCTGGGTGGTTGGGAAGAGCCTCTCCGGAGGCGTTTGGGTCTAGATCTGGGTGACAGGAAGGAGCTGGCATCAAGCAGATCTGGGGCAGAGCATCTGGGCAGGGCACAGGGAAAGCAAGTGCAAAGGCCCTGTGGTAGGAACCACTTGCTGTGCTCAAGGAGCAGGGAGCGAAGGCAAGCGTGGTATGAGGTGATCACACAGCCCCTCGGAGGCCATGACAAAGTCAAGTTTTCCTCTGAGGGTTCTGGGAAGCCAGTGAGGTTTTGAGGAGGGGAGCCACATGCCCTGAGCATCAATTGGCTGAGGCCTCTGTTGGTGCTGTGTGGAGAGTGGCGGGGGCTGGGGGTGCTGGGCAGAAGAGGAGAGACGGTTAGGAGGCTGTTGTCAGGTCAGTGATGGTAGTGGCTGGGGTGGAGGTGGCAGTGAGGGTGGCAAAGCAGGTGGTAGATTTTGGAGTTGAGCTGGGGTCCTGCTGACTGGATTTTCCTGTGTGTTTGTTATTTGTTCAAGCTCGGTCTCCCCTACTAGACTATAGGCAGCTATGGCAGTGCACATCTTTCTGGTCTTAGGAAATAGTCACTGTTTTATCCCCAGTGCTGAGCTTCTGCCTGGCACACAGTTGGCATTTAATAAATGTAGCCTGAATGGATAGATAAATGTTCTCTGTGAGAAGGAACAAATGAATGATGGGAGTGGGGTGCACGTGTCTCAGTACCGAGGCACACAGTCGGTACCTAATAAATATACCCTGAATGGATGGACAAATGTTCTCTGTGTGAAGGAGTGAGTGGATGAAGGGAGTGGGGTACTCATATCTGTCCCGAGGCACACAGTCGGCG